TCAAGCGGGAGAAGGCTGCCTTTTTTGAGGCGCTCGAAGACTGGGAGGGCATCCCTCCAAGGGGGGAGCGCCCTCCCAGATTCAACCTTCTCCGTGCCCTGTGGCAGCAGGGCGGCCGGCCTGGATGGCGCCATAGGACCCCTAACCGTGAGTACCCCCCCCCACCCACCCCTTCCCATTGCCTGGCCATGTGACGCCATCTGCTTTGTGGTCTCACCCACAGGGCGGCCACGTGCGAGGCGGGTCAGGGTGGGCTCCCCTGCTGGCGAGGGACAAGCGGCTGGTGCGGCTGTGCCAGGCCGCCACCCAAGGGAACAAGGTGAGTCATGGGGGGTAGCTTGCTCAGTGGCACGTGGTCCTGCAGGACGGCCACAGCTGGCCACCTGCCAACCAGCGCCCGGTGCCATGGCCCCTGGACCGCCCTGGTGGCCTGTGGTGGTGGTGCCCCTGGCAGCCCAGCAGACATGGGAGTATGGGCCAGGGCCCCACAGGCGACGACACACCCATGCTGCCCAGTGAGTGCTGTGCATGGGCATAGGTGCACAGCCACCTCATGGGTGATTGCTTCCTGTCCCCATAGATCCAGTTGTGCTGAGCTCCCCGCCGGATTCCCCGCCCCATGGTGGAGGGCCCCACGCAGGTGAGGGGGGGCCGTTGGCCGTCTGGACATATGCAGGAGGTCCGAGCGGTCGAGACATGGAGCGTAATGGGGCCAGGGGAGCTGGCCTGGTTGGGCGTGTTGGGTGCGTCTGTGGTCACTGTGCGCCTCTAGGGGACACGGGCCCTGTGGAGTGCGGGCTGCCGATGAGACAGGGGCTTGGCTAGGATGCACTGCCATTGCCAGCGGTACTCCTAGGCCCATCCACACCCGTCGCCCACGTCCACATGGCCGGACATGGGACCCATGAGTCACGGGGGCCGCACTGGTGGTCCCCTGGAACCTACCCCTAAACGGGCCACAGTGGCACAGCAGGCTTCAACGGTGTGGCATGCCGGGTTACAGCTGTGGTCTTTCCAGCAGGTGGCCCAGCGGCGGCGGAGGAGGCAGCGGTGGCCACGGCCGGTTCCGCCGTGGTTATCAGTTCGGCCCCTGAGTGTGATCCAGGTATGTGAAACCCCCTGGAGACCTGGTGGACACCACAGTGTGGGTGCCTGGGTGTGTAGTCCCTGCAGAGCCCCTGGCACACACAGCAGAGGGTCGGAGCTGTGACTGGGTGTCCTGTCCCTGCAGGGCCGGGACCGTCCCGTCAGCTGGTGTCACCAGCACGTGGGGCAGATGTGGCCCGAAGGCTCACCACTGTGGAGGAGGCACTGCAGGACCTCCGCATCTCAGGTGGGAACGACCCAGCCAGGGGTGAGGCGGCCCCCAGGTGGCTGGTGACAGATGGGACGTGGGTGTCACAGGGTGTGCCCATGGCCCAGGTGTCTGTGGCCATGGTATGCGTGGGAGGCTTGGGGTGGTCATCCTGGTTACTGTGTCCAGCCCCATGCATGGAGGTCCCTGAGGTGCTGCCACTGATGTCGTTGTACCCGTCTTGTTTTGTCCTCAGTGGACCGGCATGACCGGCAGTTGGCAGAGCTGCGGCGCCTCTTCATTGAGCTGCGTCTGGATGGGGCCCTCCAGGAGCAGCGCAG